CAAGGAGGCAAATATGGGGTGGTGGTTATGTTTGTTCTCTGGAATCAGACGGCCTGTGTTTAAATTCCAATCTGATCACTTACTAGCTGTGTGATCTTGAGAAAGTTGCTAAACTTTTTCATGTCTCAGGATCCTCATCAGCAAATGGGGATATTAATACCTTATACGATTTTTGTGAATGTTAGAACAGTTTCTAACATATAGTAAATAATTTATAAACGTGAGCTTTTGTTAATGCTCACTACTGAAGATAGAGCACAACATGTATGGTCCTACTCTTTATGAACTTTGCATTCTTGAGAAATTAAAAATTACAAATAGCAGTATTACTCTTTAAAAAGTTAAGGGGCTGAGTATAATGGAGTGGCAGAAGAATCCTTTAAATAACATGGGCAGGGAAGGCCTCTCTGAAGAGGGGCATTTAAGCTGAGACTTGATCCTTGAGAAAAAACTTGCAATTTTAAAAATAGAGGGAAGAATGTTCCAGGCTGGGGGAACATCTTGTACAAAAATACCAGGTAGAGAGAGTTTGGTAAGTTCAAATATTTGAAAGAAGACTATTATGGTTGGAGAGCAGGGAATGGGAAATGCAGTCTATGAAATGAGGTTGATGAGGTAGGCAGGACCTTGTAGACCAGGGTAGGTAGTTAGGAATTTTATTTTAAATTCTGTGGGAAATTACTGAAGAAGGGAGGGACACAATACCATTTTTCTTTTTTTTAAAAGATCACTCTTGTTGTTGTGTTATATTTGTATCAGAGAAAGGTAAATTTTGGAAATGGGAAAAACAGCTTTGAGGCTCTTGACAGTGAGCCAAATGAGAGCCTAGGTGGCAGTGGAGATGGAGAGATGTTGATGGATATAGATATATTTTGAGGTCAAATCAACAAAGGTGATGAAAAAAAGTTAGAATCATAGATGATACCCAGCTTTCTGGCTTGAATAACAGGTTTGATGTGGTATCAATTTCTGAAATGGGGGATACTGAGAAAAGGATCAGGTTTGGGGAGGGGCTTGACAATTCAGAGTTCTATTGTGAACATATTGAATTTGAGTTGTCTATTAGACATCCAAGTGGAGATGTGGAGTAGTAATTTGGATTCATGAACGTGGAGTTTAGGGCCAGCTTTTAGATAATATTTAAAGTCATGTATCTGGATGAGATAACCCAGGGAGATTAAAAAGAGAAGAGGGCCTGGGATCATACATATAGAATATATATATATTCTAGTTCCTGGCACAAAGCAGGTGATCAATAAATATTTGTTAAACAATTGAACTAATGTATGAATGAAATGAATGAGACATTGAGCTATTAGCAAACTACAATTTTGTCATGTGTAAAATGGCAATAATACGAGTATCTGGTTTTTGGACAGGATTTAAAGCAATAAAAAATTTTATAGCAGGTAGCACATGCTGAATTAACTTAACTACTATTAGCTCTCTGCACTTCGGGTGCTCATTCATAAAATAGGGGCAGTAACTTCTGCCTTGCTTCCTTCACAAGGCTATTTGTGAAGCCTGCAGGAGTTAAGGCTTGACTCTATAAGTGGTTATTAATATTAATGTTTTAATAGGCCTGTGCCTTCATTATACACCTGCTCTGCTCTTCCCATCCTCTGGCAAGATTATTTAAATGAAAACACGTCGTTTATTTTATTTTATTTTATTTTATTTTATTTTATTTTTTTGAGACAGGGTCTTAGTCTGTCACTCAGGCTGGAGTGCAGTGGCACAATCATTGCTCACTGCAACCTCTGCCTCCCGGGCTCAAGTGATCCTACCACCTCAGCCTTCCAAGTGGCTGGGACTATAGGCACGCGCCACTACGCCCTTACTAATTTTTTATCTTTCATAGAGACGGGGTTTTTCCATGTTGCACAGGCTCATCTCCAACTCCTGTGCTCAAGCGATCCGCCCCAACTCGCTCTGCCAAAGAGCTGGGAGTACAGGAGTAGGCCACCGCTCCTGGCCAAAAACCCTTCTTTAAAGAAACCCGATACTCCCTGCGTGTCAGCCCAGCCTGGTCCAACCAATTATACTAGAAACAACACCCTACTGCGAGGTCCCCAGTGACAGAGTTCGATTTTTTTTTTTTTTTAAACTACCCAGCTCCACCCCTTCCTGTTAGGCTTTCGCGTGTTGCAGCTGTGCACGCTGATTGGTCCTCTGCTGGCCAATCACCACTGCACTTAGTGACGACTGTAGTTTTCAAAATCCCAACTGGGCTGGTGGAGGGGCGCAGGAGCCAGGTTGAGAGGAACTCGAGTCGCTATAGTAAGGAGCTCAGTTCATTTCCCTGGCCTCTCCTGGTCCAGGGGTGCGTCTATGGTCTTTGCTGTCTGTCCTCAATCTCAGTGTGAGGTAGGCGCCTTTGGGCAAGTACTGCTGGCTCCAGTGTCCGGCTCTGTCGCCTACCAGTGGGTCCTTGGGCATCACTCCAGCCCCTTGCTGAATTCTGTTACTGGGATGCGCGGTGTTCCTGTAAGGAAACTTTTCAATCTCCTGTCGATCAGCAGCCTGTGGAGTGAGCCCTGTACAAGGTTGGGCGGGGGGAGTGTTTGTTAAGGAGTGAGATGGCAAAGCAAACAAGACTGGGTCCCAGCTTTTAGATGGAGCAATTAGTACACGTGCCTGAATCAGAGTACTTTTACAAAACGTCTTTTCACAAGTGAAAGTGTGCAGGATTAATTTCATCTACAAGTGTAGAGGGATCAGACATATTTAAGTCATAGAATGCTCCTTGCAGGATGTCTTTTGAGCTACAGGTTGAAGGACATGAAGGGAGGATGGACACATGTGTCCTCACTCTATTGTTAACCCTTTATCTTCACTGGCTCTTTTCTGTTCCCACCTGCAACCCCCTTCAGCTTTGGCTTTCTCACCACCCTCTGCTACGGCCCACTTAGAATCGTAGAAGATCAGAGGTAGAAGGGACCCTAGAACAGCGGGGCTTAAATCTTAACGTGCATATAAATCACCTGGGGACATTGTTAATTTGCAGATTTTTATTTGATAGGTCTAGTTTGGGCCCTGAGGTTTTAAATTGCTAACAAATTTCCAGGTGATGCTAATGTTGCTTGTCCATTGACCACATTGAATAGCGAGGAGGCTCTAGTTCCACTGCTTCGTTTTATTGGGTGGGAAAACTAGGGCCCAGAGAGGGAAAGGGACTTGCCTCTTTGCCACTTGCCACTTGCCTCAGTGTCACCCAGCCAACTAAGAGCAGGGCCAGAACTAGACCTTAGCCATCCTTCCCAGCCCAGTGCTGCTTTATTGACACAGTGCTGTGTTCTCTCCCCAGAGCCTTGCTGTCTGTAACCTGTCTTTATATAAAAAATGAAGTTGCTACTACTTCCTGTAGACTATTTTGATCAGCTTAGCCCTGCTGCCCCTGTGTTGGTTTCAGCACCAGCCCTGGGAGGTCCAGTGGAGTCTGCAGCACTTGCCAGTGTGTATATAGGGGACATGGAAAGTCTGAAAAGGGGAAAGGATTCTAATTTTCTTGCCCAAGGCTCAGGGTTCTGTAGGTGGCAGAAGTTGAGAGTGTTCTGCAGAGAGTGTCCTTTTATGAAAGGATCTTTTTGATGATGTCAATCCCTTCTCCTCCCCTTCCCCCTGGGAAAATTAGTTTACCCAAGTCAGTGCGTCTTTCCCTCAATGCAAATGATTAGTGTTCAGGATAATAAATGGGGTATATGACCATCATTTAAGTAACCTTATTTTCTCTGAGATTTAGTTAACCTGTATGTTATCAACTGAGAGTTTTCTAGCCTGTGGACTCCATATTTCTTTTTCCTTTTAAAAGGTAAAGGTTTCAGAGTGTGAGTCTTTGGTTGTCCATTAAAAAAAAAATTATGAGGTGTAAATAATAGTAGTGGAGTAAGTGATTTTCATACAGTGCAGTTAAGGGTGGGTGCACCCAATTTAACTTTATTGCTGCTTGGCTGAGGTTTGAGGAATGAGATGGAATATAGGTTTGGATTTGATAGAAGAGGGGAGTAAGACAGCATTTATTAAATGCCTGCCATGTATCAGGTTTCGTACATGTAAATTTGCATTTGAGCCACACAAGTCCTCTGCAAGTAAGTGGTGTTATAGCTGTTTTGCAAATGAGGAAACTGAGGCTCAGAAATGCTAACTTGTTTGGCTTAGAAGTCCAGTTATTCAGACTCCAAGACCTGTGCTCATTCTACCTCCTCACACTATGGCCTTTCACTGTTTTGGAATGTTTTTGAGTGTGATCAAAGAGACTTCATGGTATTTTAGAAATTGCCCTGGAAAAAGCTGGGCAGTCTATGCTCCTTAATAGTTTGTCCTGGCAGTAAGTTACTTAATTCATCTGAGACTGTAAAATAGAATTGTACCTGCCTTTGCTTAGCCTCATGGTTTTGTTGTGAGAATCAACTGAGGTAATATATGTGAATGCATATACTTATACTGGCTTTTCCTCACCTACAAAATGTTTCATCCTTCTCCATCCAAAACAAAACCCAACTCAGCCTTTCCCCTTTCTTAAACTTTCCCCTCAAGCTGCAGAATTTTCTGTTTCCTTTTCTTACCAACCTGGCCCCAGCCTAGCTTTTCAGCCTCATTCTAACCCCTCCCCAACATGTTATTTACGCTCCCTACTCCAGACAGCTAGGACATCCCTGAACTCTGTATGTTCATGCCTTTACCTGGTCTCAGACTTTCTTTGCCTGGAAACCTCCCAGTCAACTTGGGAACCTGTTTGTCATTTTAAGTCCTAATCACACGTTACTTCCTTTGTGAAGCCTTCCTCCAGCCCCTGTCCCCAACAAGATTACTGACTTTCCATTATGTTTCTATAGCACTTAGTTTGTGCTGCTATAATAAAGTGTCATGGACTGGGTGGCATTAGTTCTCACAGTTCTGGAGACTGGGAATCCAAGATCAAGTTCTTATGTCAAGTGATTTTTTAGTAAGTTAGTTTATTTTGCTATAATCTCATCTTTTGAATTTTTTGTTCCTTCCAGGTGTCTGGAACTGGATTACAGTTTCTTCTGTTGAATGCAGTCTTTGAATGCTGCCTGGCCTATCGCGAATACATGTGTGTGCAGTTATTGTTTTCTCTGTAGGGTCATAATTGCTTTGTCAGGACCCCATGCCTTTTAAAGAACATTAGCTCTACCAGCTTGCCTCCATACTATATGAGCCGTCATGTTCTTCATTGTTTTCAATGCAAAACTCCTATGTAATTTGTTCCCAGTGCTGCTAGGCCTAAACTAGGGGCTAGACAACATCCCAGCGTTCACAGAGGATGGTAGGCACAGTGCTCGGCTTTTTACATAAAGTATCTCATTTAATTTGAACAACACCCTGCAGAGGTAGGTATACTTATCTCCATTTTATAGATGAGGTAACTGAAGTCCAGAGATTTTAAGTCAGTCACTTGCCTGAGGTTAATTGTGATAAAACCAAGATTTTAATCCAGATCTGCCCAACATCAAAGTCTGTTTTCTCCTAGGGATGCTATAGATAGACTGGGTTTTCTCAAGAATTTTCAGAGAATTCATGGTGTTTCTGGTGAATGGTGTTAAAGAGCCTCTTTCTGATTGCAGCCCTGCCTTCGACAAGACACAGCTGAATCTGTAAGAGATGCTACTGCCACTACCACCCCAGAGCTCCAAACCTGAGCCTACGAAATCTCAGTCCAGCAAAATTGTGCCGAGTCATCATGACCAGTCTGAAAAGGTTAGAGCAAGCTGTCTTCCCTGACAATATCTTTGGTAGTCTCTTCCTGTGTTGGCTCAGTACCTATCCTCACCTGTGAGTCTTTTGAAATATGTCTGGTTTAACCTGAGAAAATGGGGAGGGGTGGCAGCCCTTGCAGTTGGAGAATGCCAGCAAATTAGAACTTTGGACTCTTCTTTCCCATAAATGCAGGGCTCGAATGAAGGCCACCCTCCATAACCCTCAAAACTGAACAACACTCAGTCCTCATTAATGATCATGTCTATGTCCTTACTTTCTCTGAGAAGCTCCAAGCACCTTGCTGAAAGACTGGTACATTCTGGGGAGAGTATGAAGATTATATCAGCACATTTATTATTATGCTTTTTATAGCTATTAAATTTGAAGAATGGGTATATTTTGACTCTGCTGTTTTGACTTTATTGATAGTTTGATGTTCTAACCTTAGGATATTCTGTGTTCATCATCATACATATTTTAATCAGAATTATACTAGCACTGATGAATTGGCATCAAGAGAGTATTTCCTGGAGCAAAACATCATTAGGTGAATTTAATTTCCTTGATTGGTTTTCTCTGAGCACAGATAAACATTTTCTAATCTTGTTTATTTTACTAAAATGATTTTCACGGAGGTGCCAAATTTTTTCCTATGTAAATTTTTCAAGAAAGATTTGATATATTGATCAGATTTTTGTCAACATCAAATTTTCGGATTAGTGTTCTGCCATTGTAACTTTCCTTTAGTGGCAATTAGTTTTCCAAAACCAACTTTCTTGGAGTACATTTTGCAAATCTAAGTTTTACTGAGTTCAGTTTCAGCTGTAATTTTATTTTGGGTCAATTATTTCTACCAGTAATATTAAATAGGAGTTGGATAACAGTTTATTTCTTAGCTAATTTCCGAGAAAATAATGTTTCATTTTTGGCTAATTTCTAGTAGGATTATTTATCATCAGCTAGATGAAAGGCTAATAGCTTACTTATGTCTTGGCTTAATCAGTTAGAAAATGGAAGTAATTTTTCTCAGCTTTTTTTGTTTTGTTTTGAGATGGAGTCTTGCTCAGTCGCCCAGGCTGGAGTGCAGTGGCACGATCTCGGCTCACTGCAACCGCCACCTCCCGGGTTTAAGCAATTCCCTGCCTCAGTGTCCTGAGTAGCTGAGATTATAGGTGCCTGCCACCATGCCTGGCTTATTTTTGTATTTTTAGTAGAGACAGGGTTTCACCATCTTGGCCAGGCTGGTCTTGAACTCCTGACCTCGTGATCCACCCTCCTTGGCCTCCCAAAGTGCTGGGATTGGGATTACAGGCCTGAGCCACTATGCTTGGCCCTCAGCTCGTATTTTTTTGTTTTTGTTTTTGTTTTTGAGTTGGAGTCTTACTCTGTCACTAGGCTGGAGTGCAGTGACATGGTCTCGGCTCACTGCAACCTCTGCCTCCTGGGTTCAAGCAATTCTCCTGCCTCAGCCTCCCGAGTAGCTGGGACTACAGGCATGCGCCACCATGCCCGGCTAATTTTTGTATTTTTAGTAGAGACGGGGTTTCCCCATGTTGGCCAGAATGGCCTCAATCTCTTGACCTCATGTTCCACCTGCCTCAGCCTCCCAAAGTGCTGGGATTACAGGTGTGAGCCATTGCGTCCAGCCTCAGCTCTTTTAAGATTGCTCTCTGTGCTGGAGTGGTTTATTGTGTCATGAATCCAATTCTGATAACTCACTGTGCCATGTATTAACTGTTAATGGTACCGCTGGAGAACAGAGCAAATGGTCTGATCCCAGTGTCCTGCTTCACATTACAACAAGTCTCTGATATAAGTAGGGAAGGTTTGTTCTCAGAATTTCATAAGGGCAGTCTGAGACTTAGGAGATTTTTACCACGTAAAGCTCTTAGAGGGTAGAAGACTCCTATAGTGTGATTTGCCCTAACCTCTAACCCTATAGAGATGGTCTTACTCATTTGGGAATGGGTTAAGGCAAGCACAGATACAGAATATGTGGAAAGAAAGCCCCTTCTGCTTCAAAATATTCATCCCCCTTCCCTTCCCCAGCCCCTCCTTTATGTATACTAATAATCAGAGATTAATCTGGATTACTAAACTTTTTTTCTTAATATAAAATTTTCCTTTGCGGTTTACAATCATATCAGAGTTCGTTATTTTAAATACTATTTCTGCCCATTTACAGTTCATACAAACTTTTAAAAAACATGTGTTGTCTTATTTAATCTTCAAGGACTGTAAGGCAAGTTATCCAGTTTTACTGATAAGAAAATTGAGGCTCAGAGATTAAGTGACTGGTCCAAGGTCAACAGTTAGTAAAGAACTGATCCTGGAGCAGTATATAGATGTGTGTGCTATTATCCTTAGTGGTAATGTCTTTTAAAATGTGTCCCCAACCTCTGGGCCATAGACCAGTACTAGTCTGTGGCCTGCTAGGAACTCAACCATACAGCAGGAGGTGAGCAGTGAGTGAGCAAAGCTTCATCTGTATTTCTAGCCATTCCCCATCACTCATATTACTTCCTGAGCTCCACCTCCTGTCAGATCAGCAGTGGCATTAGATTCTCATAGAAGCATGAACCCTATTGTGAACTGCGCATGTGAGAGATCAAGGTTGTGTGCTCCTTATGAAAATTTAATGCCTTATGATCTGTCACTGTCTCCCATTTCCCCCAGATGGGACTATCTAGTTGCAGGAAAACAAGCTTAGGGCTCCCACTGATTCTACATTATGGCGAGTTGTATAATTATTTCATTATATATTACAATGTAATAATAAATATGCACCATAAATGTAATGTGCTTGAATCATCCCAAAACCAGCCCACCCCAGTGTCCGTGGAAAATTTGTCTTCCATGAAACCGGTCCCTGGTGCCAAAAAGGTTGGGGACTGCTGTTTTAAAAGCTACTTAACATAAGAGACACGTAGATATTTGTTAAATTATTAAAGTGATCTACCTGAAAGCATCTATATTAAAGGAATGACTAGGAATGGTAGGGGTGGTAGTGGCCCACCTTGGATAGGATAACCATAAGTATGAGAGAAGTAAGAGGAAAAATGAGCTTTACTGAGCTACATTTTGCTCATTTTGTGAGTTACACTGAAGGTCATCTTGCCTCTTCATAGACTTACCCATTATCAATGTCTACCACCTTTAGGGACTTAATAAACAGCTCTGAGTGCCAGAATTTCCTTTTGTTACAGTTTATTGGGGGTTATTATATGCATCCCCAGTTACTTTGAGATTCTGGAGTTCCCCTGAGCCCTAAAGAGGACCCAGAGTCCCTGAAGAGACTATTCACAATTGGATATACTCATTTACCTCTTTTACTTTTTTAGACAGGGGAGAATTGCCAAATGAAGATATCTCCATCTTCACTTCAGGAGTCTCCATCTTCACTTCAGGGAGCACTCAAAAAGAGATCAGCTTTTGAAGATCTCACTAATGTGAGTATGCTAGTCCAATCCTTTGCTATGGTTTTGCATAAGGCTTAGACACCCTCTTTCTTGAGGGACCTTTCCACTTTACCAGACCCTCTCGGGAATGTCCACAGCAAATTTTATTTGGGATCAATGACCCAGTTTCAGAAACTGCAGGGGCTCTGCTCCTGGCACATACCATCTGGAGCAATTGGTGGAGTTCTCGGGAAGCAGCAGACAGTGATTATCAGATATGAAATTGCAGATAACTATGAGAACTATGGAACTGCATTTAGATGAAGTCCAGAGGTGACTGCCCAGGCCCTTGAGGTAAGTATTTCGGTGGAATCATTGTAGTCTAGTGCAGTGTTTATCAATTCACACAGGACAATTTTTCTGTTGTGCAGGACTGATCTCAGCTAGCATCCCTGGTCCTCAGGCATTAAATTCCACCAGCAGCCCAGTCATAGTGAGAATCAAAAATGCCTCCAGATATACAGAACTGTTGAGAACCACAGTTCCATGATCCAGTCTTTAACTATGAGGATCTAGAAATTCAATTTTGGCTAGAATTCTTTCAAGTAACCTCCCTTCTGGTGTTACTAAGGTGCCAGTAAAAATCAGAATTAATAGAATGTTGTTAAATGAATATAGAATCAAGCCAAAGGCAATCTTTGTCTTAAAAAATAATAATAACTGATATACCTACTGGGTGCTTACCATATGTCAGGCACTATGCTAAGCATGTTATCCTGTATTAGCTCACTTAATCCTCATGTAATCCTATGAGGTAGATACTATAATCTCTTCTTGATAAATGAGGACTTCGCCAATGTTGGTTTTGAAGTCTGTGTTATCTAGGCTATAGATAATCCTGGTGAACTATTCTTGCCCTGCATTATATAGTGTACTTATGTAGCTACCAGAATACTTATATCTACTAAATAGTGTTTTACTCCCTTGGGCATAATTGGATAGGCATTGGCAAAGTTCTTTCCTTTAGATCCCTGCCCTTTAGATTCTGTATGACCACCTTTCTGCAAATACAATCTCTTCCCTATACAGATTACAACATAGTTTTTTTAAGTTATAGCTTTCTGTATAATTTCAGACCTACTATCAATTGGTAGAAAGAGCCCCTTCCCACACACACACACTTGTAAGGTTAGATTCATCTCCTGACTTATTTAACCATGGATGCAGAATTTGGCTGAAATAAGGTAGTCATGAATCAGGAGCAGATGCAGCCTATCTTAGTGTAACTTCCCTTGGTCCCTCCAAGTCCCTGACGGGAGTACAGTGACAATATGCAAGGGAAGTGTCTTAGTCCATATGGGCAATTATCACAAAACACCTTAGACTGGGTAACTTATAAACAACAAAAAGTTATTGCTCACAGTTCTGGAGGCTGAAAAGTCCAAGATCATGGTGCTGGCAGATTTGCTATCTGGGGAGGGCCCATTCCTCATGGATGACATCTTTTGCCTGTGCCCTCACATGGTGGAAGAGGCAAACAAGCTTCCTCGGGCCTCTTTTATAAGGGCACTAATCCCATTCACAAGGACTGTGCTCTCAAGACTTAATCACCTCTCAAAAGGCCTATCTCTGAATAGCATCACATTGGAGATTAGGTTTCAACATAATGAATCTCAAAGGGGCACAAGTATTCAGATCACAGCAGTAAAGTATCACAGCATATGAGAAACTTTCTTGTGACATCTGAGTCCCTTTTTCATGAGTTTATCTTACCATTCAGAAAGAACAGACATACATGAACTGTATCAATAATGGGAAATCCATGCAGATATCTAGGACCCTCCTGATTCTCCAACTGAATTGAGCATCTGTTTGGCCATATTTGCATGGGGCTAGGGGGCAGGGGAGCAAGGCATCATTAGCAGAGTTTCTGCCTCTAGCTCTCTAGCTGCTCAGAAAGCCCATTTCCCTTTTGCACTCAAGTTCTGAAGATTTACCTTGGTTACCTTGAATGGTCTTTGGTGCCTTCCAGAGACAGTTCCATCATTGCAATGTACCTAAGCCATTCCTAAGGTTGGGCATTACTGCAGATATCCGAACTCATCTATTTGACAGTTGAGGGCTCCTTTCGCTCTGGGTTTTGGAGGTTCCCTATATGATAATTTGCTTCTTAACAGTCAGTATTATTAGGTCTCCATGTCTTCATCCCTGTGTTCTTCTCAACATTTGCCACAGTGAGATCCTGGCCTGCCAAAAAGAGTTAATCTGTTTTAATTAGTTAATCTGCTGTGAGTTTTTATTTTCCTCTCCCTTATCATTTCTAGCATGGGAAGGACTTGTGAAATTTAAGAGCTGGTGCTAAGCCAGTAGACAGGGAGATAGGGCCTATATCCATGTTTGCCTAAATGGTTTTGTGTAGGTAGGACTTTTGTTTATTTATATATGTTATTTTATTTTATTTTATTTTTTGAGATAAAGTCTTGCTCTTTTGCCCAAGCTGGCGTGATCACAGCTCACTGCAGCCTTAGCCTCCTAAATAGCTGGGACTACAGGTGCTCACCACCATGCCCAGCTAATTTGTGTATTCTTTCTGTAGAGATGGGATTTTTCCATATTGCCCAGGCTGGTCTTGAACTCCTGGGCTCAAGAAATCCTCCTGCCTCAACCTCCCAAAGTGCTGCGATTATAGGTGTGAGCCACCACGCCCAACCTTCACTTCTATTTTCCTATTTTATGGTGAAAGAATTATGGGGAAGTACAAGTAAAGGTCCCCTTGAGCTTAAACTTGAAAATATCAGTGCTTTGTACCTGCATGTATGGTAAGTAGAGAGTTTCATCTTGGGAGTTATGATCTCCACCTCTTTCTTGCCATGAACACACCTCTTTTCCCATTCTGAATCTCGATTGCACATATAAGGAGTTTGCAAAACTTTAGGTGAAGTTGAAATGACGACTGTGGCAAGCTCTTTGAAAAGCAGAGGTAGATGACTTGAGGTCCTAAGAAAGAATTTCCTATTGGACTGTAGTTGTTTATTATGATCTGATGATACAAAGACATACTTTTTTTCTACATTTCATTTGGAAATAACTTCAAATTTATGAAGTGTTGCAAAAATAAAAATTGTACAAAGAACACCAGTATACCCTTTACTAGAGTACTTATTGTTGACATTTTGTCCCACGTGCTTTCTCATTTGCTTGTATATATCATGATCCCTTTACCCGTAAGTACAGTGTGTATTTCCTAAGAATAGGGAAATTGTCTTATATAACCACAATACACTTATCAATTTTCTAAATTTGCACTGATATAGCAGTTTTGTATAAGTAGCAGTTTTGTGTAATCAATCATCTGTATTCCAGTTTTGTCAGCTGACCTTATAACAACCTTTATAGCATGTTTTCCCCTCCAGTAAAGGATCCAGGCTAGGATCATGTGTTGTATTTACTTGTCTTTTACTTGTCTTTTTAGCCTCTTAATCTGGAACATTTCCATAGCCTTTTTTTTTTTTTTTAAATGATGTTGCCATTTTTGAGGATATAGTCCCACCCAACTCCCCACTTTGTAAAATAGAAAAATCCACATTTTGTTTTTGTCTAATGTTTGCTTGTGACTAGATTGATACATTCTTGGCTAGGATACTGTGTAGGTGATGTTCTTGCTATCCTTCTCAAAGTATCATATCTGGAGGCACAGGATGTCTGTCTTTCATTGATGATGTTAATTTTGATCACCTGGTCAAGATGTTGCCTGATTTTTGTACTGTATCATTATTATTTATCTTTTTCTCTTGCAGTAAGGAATCTGTAGGACATACTCTACAAGCATGAGCCTTCCCTTCTCCACTGTTTATTATCAGTATGGACTCATGAATTCATATTTTTCCAGTGGTTTACTGTTCATTATTGTACTTTATTTTGGTGCTCAAATTGCCCCATCTTTGGCCAGTTAAGAATGCCTTCAATCTGACTATCGTGTCCTTGTGACATGGTCTCATAATTTTTTGAGCATTTTATTTCCAGCTTAAAAAGATGGTCCAGATTCATCTTATGCCTCCTTTGTCCAACCCCTGGAGTCAATAATTTCTCCAGAGTTCTGGTTCCCTTTAGTAGGGAGTGATATTAGATACCAAGATCTTGGTGCTAGATGTGCTATTAGGGTGTCTGCTTTTTCTGCCCAGTCTGCAGACAGAGCTAGGAAATATCTGTATTTTTATATACACAAATGTGTACTTATACATATGTCTATATACACAAATATATATGTATAACTGGTTCAGTCTTAGGGTGTATGTGTCCAGGAATTTATCCATTTCTTCTAGATTTTCTAGTTTGTGTGCATAGAGGTATTTATAGTATTCTCTGATGGTTGTTTGTATTTCTGTGGGGTCAGTGGTGATATCTCCCTTATTTCTGACTGTGTCTATTTTATTCTTCTCTCTTTTCTTATTAGTCTAGCTAACAGTCTATCTGTTTTATTAATTTTTTTCAAAAAGCCAACTCCTGGATTCATTGATTTTTTTGAAGAGTTTTTTGTGTCTCTCTTTCCTTTACTTCCACTTGAATTTTGATTACTTCTTGTCTTTTGCTAGCTTTGGGGTTTGTTTGCTCTTGGTTCTCTGGTTCTTTTAGTCGTGATGTTAGGTTGTCTATTTGAGATCTTTCTAGCTTTTTGATGTGGGCATTTAGTATTTGTATACACATATTCCTATTTAGGAAATCATGAATTCATGCAACTTCAATTTCAATACATAAAATTCTTTCTTGGGTTCACTAATCCTTATTTGTATGTTCTATAATGAGAACCCTGGCTCCTAAGAACATCAACACATTTACTTAATACTGTAATACAGCTAAAAGAGTTTCAAAATGGCTTCATCCAAACCACTGTAATAAACAAACCTACTAAAAAGAGTTCCAGATTTATTAGCAATATCTACACCCCCCTGCAGAGCTATCCTAATTGAGGATGTATACTTTGAAGGTGGCAGTCAAATACTATTTATAAGTGACTTGGATTGGTTATTTCTGATCTTTTCTTGTGCTTTCTAAAAAGAAAGGAAAAATCATTTAACATAGTTATGGTACTTATTTGAAATATAATTAGGTTCATTTGTGTCATTTAATTTTTTAATTTAAAAAAATTTTTTGTGACAAGGTCTTGCTCTGTTGCCCAATCTGGAGTACAGTAGCGTGATCGAAGCTCACTGCAGTTTCAACCTCCCAGACTCAAGCAGTCTTCTTACCTCATTCCCCACAAGTGGCTGGGACCATAGGCATGTGCCCCCACACCGAGCTATATTTTTTTAATTATTATTTTGTGGTAACAGGGTCTCCCTATGTTGCCCAGGTTGGTCTTGAACTACCAGGCTCAAGTGATCCTCCCACCGTGGCCTCTCAAAATGCTGGGACTACAGGCAAGAGCCACTGTGACTAGCCTGTTTGTTTCATTTTAAAGACATAACTTTAAGTGTATTTTTACTGACATTATTAACAGTCCCATGATCTTTCCTACTGTTAAAAGTGTTGGTCAGGATTAGAGTCTGTATGGAACTCCCCAAAGCCATGTGTTAAATAAATGCCACTTAGTGAGATGGGATAGATATATCACAGGTAGTACTGTGTTAGAGGTGTATCCTGAAGAGGCACACCCAGACAGCAAAGTCAATCATACTGCCTTTTTTCCCCTCTGAAAATCTTATGAGGTCAAAGTGGAGTATGATGTTAACACAGCATCTTTTCAGTTGTGGGCCAGCTAGTAGGCCTGGCATAGAGCACAGAACTACATCCTGTATCTCTTAGAAACACATAGGGCTGCTAGTTAGCCAACACATACCAGTACTGCCGCACTGGTTGTTTGATGCTAGCTTCCACTGTGATTGGTTGGCCCAGTGCCATACTGGTTGTGAGATGTTTGGATTATCACTCCTGGGAACACCCAACCAACTTATGTGGATCAGGACTTTCCTATGAGAGCCACCTATTAGGTAATTTGTGGTTTTCTTCATTTTCCTGCCTCCTCCTTCCCCCGTCCTGCACCCATTTTTTTTTTTTTTTTTTTTTTGCAGGCTTCTCAATGTCAACCTGTCCAGCCCAAGAAAGAAGCCAATAAAGAGTTTGTAAAAGATGTTTCTAAGAAGATAAACAGGAGCACACGTGCTCTTGGATTGGCCAAAAAGAATAAGCGGAATCTAAAATGGTGAGTGAGAGGGGACTCAGATGGCATTATTTTAGATGGTAGAGTATGTGACATCCTTTTGTGCCCATTGAGAACATATTTAGCAAGCCACAATGGTGACTACCACATTAACCCTGGGTGCTGAGGTGGGCTCAGCTGTGGTTGCTGAAGAGTTATAGGCCTCTTCTGTCTCTCCTCTTTCATTATGTGTGTGCATAATGAAAGAGCTGTTGTCATTGGAAAATTTACCACAAGACTTTGTGCTCATCTTTTCCTGTCTTCTAGTAATTCAGTACCTGTTTGAGCTAGTCTGTGCCTTATAGTGTGGAGACAACTTAACTTTTCAGGGATTCTCAGCAGCTGACTGGTAGCTTGCCAGTCTGCTTATTCCATTAGAAGCTTTAGGGGAGGTTTGTACCTTGTTACTGGAGATAAATTACTATCTCCCTAGAGCAAAAACATGTGTTTTTCAGCTGTTACAGGTACCGTTCACAGGTTCTACAAGTACAGATGCACATTCCCATTTAGGACTGAAAAAAGAATTTACCTCTAGGAAGACTTATTGAAAGATGACTTAGATAGTGGAATGAGACCTTTCTATATCCCCTCCTCATTCCAGTGAGAATTATTCTTCAGGGACTGACTAATCTACATCTGAATAGATTAGATAGATGCCTATTACCGGGCTAAAGTCTATTATACTGCCTTTTTTCCCCTCTGAAAATCTTACGAGGTCAAGGTATAGTGATGTTAACACAACATCTTTTCAGTTATTTGCTAGCCAGAAGGCCTGGCATAGAGCACAGAACTACATCTTGTGTCTCTTGGAAACATGTAGGGCTGCTATTTAGCCAACACATACCAGTACTATTGTACTGGTTGTTTGATGCTAGCTTCCACTGTGATTGGTTGGCGCAGTGCCATACTGGTTGTAAGATGTTTGGATTATCACTCCTGGGAACACCAAAGGGTAAGCTAAAAAGACTGAGTAACTCTAGAAAATAACATGCACAGTCCACAGGATATTTTGCTAGTTACCCAGCAGAAAGAAGATTAGCATTTAGCTTTACTTGGTTTCCTGCTAAAATGGAATTCTGGAGTTTGCATGCATATTTTCACCTTAATTCTCTGCATTATTTTGAGTTTCTTTTATCATTCTGACTTTAGCAGGGTAATCCTCACAAATGCCGTAAACATTCTTCTCTTCACTCAGGGTTCAGTGGAAAGGACCCTAATAATAGTAGGAAAACTAGTAATAGCTGCCATTTATTGAGAGCGCACTGTAATCACACAAGTATAATCATTAAGTCTTTTTTTTTTTTGTAACAGCTTTATTGAGATATAATTTGCATACCATACAGTTCACCCATTTAAAGTATACAATTCAATGGTATTTAGTATAGTCACAGTTATACAGCCATCACAATCAATTTTTGGACATTTTCATTAACTCCAAAGAAACCCTGTACCTTTGGTTATCATCTCTCAATACCCCCAACTTGCCCAGCTTTGGGCAACTGCTAATCTACTTTCTGTCTCTATATAGATTTCCCTATTCTGGATGTTTCATATAAATGGAATTAGACAATGTGTGGTCTTTTGTGTCTTACTTCTTTCACTTAGCATGTTTTTGAGGTTATCCATGTCATAGCAGGTTATTAGTACTTCATTTCTTTTTATTGCCAAGTAATATTTCATTGCATATATACAACACATTTGGTTTACCCATCCATCAGTTGATAGATATTTGTATTTGTTCTACCTTTTGGTTATTGTGAATAGTGCTGCTATGAACATTTGTGTATACCTTTTTGTTTGAACACTTGTTTTCAATTCTTTTATGTATATACTTAGGAGTGTGGTTGCTGGGTCATATGGTAATTCTGTGCTCCATGCATTGAGGAACTGCCAAACTGTATTCCATAGTGGCTACACCATTTTACATTTCCTCCAGTAGTGTATTTACTTGAGGAAATGTAAAATGGTATAACCACTGTGCAATGGTGGCAGTGTTTTGTTTTTGTTTTTGTTTTTCCTTGAGACAGAGTCTCACTCGTGTCACCCAGGCTGGAGTGCAATGGCGTGATCTCGGCTCACTGCAAACTCTGCCTCCTGGGTTCAAGCAATTCTCGTACCTCAGCTTCCCAAGTAGCTGGGATTACAGGCGCCCACCACCACACCTGGCTAGTTTTTGTATTTTTAGTAGAGATGGGGTTTCACCATGTTGACCAGGCTAGTCTCAAACTCCTGACCTCAGATATTCCGCCTGCCTCGGCCTCCCAGAGTGCTGGGATTACAGGAGTGAGCCACCATGCACAGCTGACAGTGTTTTTTTTTTTTTAAATATGTATATGGCCATCGTGGTGGGTGTGAAGTGGCATCTCATTGTGGTTTTTAGGTTTGCATTTCTCTGACTAATGATGTTGAGCATCTTTTATGTGCTTATTGGCTATTTGATACTTCTTTGGAGGAATGTCTGTTTGGATCCTTTGCCCAGTTTTTATGCTTTTATTTCTTAATTTTTAAAATTTTATTTTTAATTGACATATAATAATTGTAAATAGTTACTGGTCTTTGTATTGTTGAGTTGTAAGAGTTCTTTATATATTTTAGATACAAGTCCCTAATCAGATATGAGTTGCAAATATTTTCATCCATTTTTTGCGTTATCTTTTTCACTTTGTTGATGATGTCCTTTGAAGTACACAAATTTTTATTTCTGAAGAAGTCTAATTTATTTTTTCTTTTGTTTATGATTTTGATGTCATACCTAAGAAACCACTGCCAAATCCCAGGTGAAGAAAATTTATACCTGTTTACTTCTAAGAGTTTTAAAGTTTTAGCTCTTAACTTAGGGTTTTGATCTATTTTCAGTTAATTTTTGTTGGCAGTGTGTATTAGGAGCCTTAACTTCATTGTTTTGAGTGTGGATATCCAGTTTTTCCAGCACTATTTGTTGAGAAAACTAACCTTTCTTAATTGTCTTGGCACCCTTGTGGGAAATCAATTGACCATAAATGTGTTTATATATGGACTCTTAATTTTATTCCATCAATCTATATGCCTCTCATTAACTATCATTATGCCAGTACCATATTGTCTTGATTATTGCAGCTTCATGTTGTGTTTTGAAATTGGGAAGTGTATTTTGGGACGCCAAGGCGGGCGGATCACGAGGTCAGGAGATCGAGACCATCCTGGCTAACCCGGTGAAACCCCGTCTCTACTAAAAAATACAAAAAAATTAGCCGGGCGTGGTAGCGGGCGCCTGTAGTCCCGCCTACTCGGGAGGCTGAGGCAGAAGGGCGTGAACCGCGGAGTCGGAGCTTGCAGTGAGCCGAGACTGCGCCACTGCACTCCAGCCCGGATGATAGAGCGGAGCTCTGTCTCAAAAAAAAAAAAAAAAAGAAAAGAAAGAAATTGGGAAGTGTGACTTCTCCAAACTTTGTTCTTGTTTTTCAAGATTGTTTTGACTATTTTGGGCTCATTGCAATTCTATATAAATTTTAGAATCAGCTTGTCAATTTCTACAAACAAGCTAGCTGGGATTCCTGTACAAATTGCCTTGGATCTGTGGATCAACTTGGGAAGTATTGATATGTTTTTTTTTCTTATTTATTTATTTATTTATTTATTTATTTATTTATGAGACAGAGTCTTGCTCTGCCACCCAGGCTGGAGTGCAGTGGTGCAATCTTGGCTCACTGTAACCTCCACCTCCCAGGTTCAAGCGATTCTCATGCCTCAGCCTGCCCGAGTAGCTGGGATTACAGGTGTGCGGCCACCACACCTGGCTTTTTTTTTTTTTTTTTTTTTTTTATATTTTTGTAGAGACAGAGTTTCACTATGTTGGGCAGGATGGTCTCAAACTCCTGACCTGAAGTGATCTGCCCACCTCAACTTTGCCCAAAGTGCTGGGATTACAGGCATGAGCTACTGTGCCCAGCCTGACATCTTAGCAATATTAAGTTTTCTAATTCATGAATATGGATATCTATCTATTTAGATATTTAGTTTTTTCAGTAGTTTTTACAGTTTCCAGAGTATAAGTTTTATGTTTATTTTGTTAAATTTATTTCTAAGCATTTTCTTCTTCTTGACACTATTGTAAATGGAATTGTTTACTTAATTTCATTTTCAGATTATTCATTGCAAGTATATAGAAACACATTTGGTTTTTGTATATTGATTTTGTGTCCTGGAATCTTGATGAAGATGTTCATTCTAATAGTTTCTGTGTGTATTCCTTAGGATTTTGTCTGTATAAGATCATGTCATCTGTGAATACAGATAGTTTTACTTTTCCAAACTGGATGCCTTTTATTTAGTTTTCTTGCCTACTTTCCCTGGCTACAACCTCTAGTACAATGTTGAATAGAAGTATCAAGAGTTGGACAGTCTTGTTTTCTCTCTGATCTGAGGGGGAAAGTATCAATCTTTCACCATCAAGTACGATGTTAGCTTTGGGTTTTTTGTAGATACCCTTTGTCAGGTTGAGGAACCTCCCTTCTATTCCTTGTTTGTTAAGTACTTTTTATCATGAAAGAGGGTTAGATTTTGTCAAATGATTTTCCTGGATCTTTTGAGATGATCATGTAGTTTTTGTTTGCTATTCCATTAATATGATGTAGTTCACAAATTGAGTTTTGGGTGTTAAATTAATCTTGCATTCCTGGGATAAATCCCACTTGGTTGTGGTGTATAATCCTTTTATATGTTGCTGGATTTGGTTTGCAGTATTTGGCTGAGGATTTTTGTATCTATATTCATAAGAGGTATCAGTCTGTAGTTTTCTAGTGGTGTCTGTCTGTTTTTGGTATCAGAGTAATACCAACCTCATAGAATGAGTTAGAAACTTCCCACTTTTTGTATTTCTTGGAAGAGTTAATGAAGAACTGGTATTAATTATTGTTTAAATGCTTGGATAGAATTGAAGCCATTTGGGCCTGGACTTTACTTTGTGAGTAGTTTTTGATTATTGATTTGATATCTTGTTATAGGTCTATTCAGATTTTCTGTTTTCTTCTTGAGTCAGTTTTGGTAGTTTGTGTCTTCCTAGGAATTTGTCCATTTCATCTCAATTATCTAATTTATTGACATTCAGTCGTTTATAACGTTCCTTTAAGTGTTTTTGAGCATATTAATTTGTTGAATCTTCACAATAAGCCTACGAAGGAGACAGTATGATCCCCATTTTATAGGTGAAAAAAACTGAAGCACAGAGAATTAACTTGCCCAAGGTCACCCAGTCAGTAAGTGGAGGAGCCAGGATTTGAATCCAGGCGGTCTAGCTCCAGAGTGCATGTTCTTACCATAGCTAGACTATCTAAAGATCTCTAAAAGTTATCAAGAGGGACCTGGACTCTATCTGGTCAAGCAGAACCTTTTGAGGCACTTTTTTTTTCTTAACAAATCAGTTGGTTTTCATTCTGTTCCTAGATTTGTACAACTATCACCACTATCTAATTTTAGAACTTTTTCAACGCCCTCCGTCCACTAAATCCATACCTATTAGGAGTTCCTTTCCCTTCCCAATCCCCCTTTCTACTCCTACCACTGTCCCAACTTCAGGAAACCACTAGTCTAGTTTCTGCTATGGATATACCTCTATGGATATGTCCATTCTGCATATTTCATATTGAACTAAATCATATCATATCTGGTCTTTTGAAGGTATTTACTCCTGCTGAGACTGGTGATTATATCTGCCTGAAATTCTCTTTCTTCTTATTCTGATCTTTAGTCTTCCTGTGATTTGGTTTCACTAGATTCATCACTCTAATTGAATATACAATCCTATTCAAAACAAAGCTTTGCATCTGACACATGTGACAAGTTTCTATTTTGAGCTTTTTATTACCTCCATTGGGAAAGCATCTCCTTAATAGCCCAGGGTGAGGGGAATGTAGTTAGATACTACCAATGTTAATTATCAGCCCACCTCTTTCATTAGCCTTCAAACAATGTTAATTTCAACCTGAAGTTTACCAGATGCCTTGGGTTGATAGACAAAGACAAATGCAGCTAGTGAAGGAGACTGATGTATGAACAGATAACTCATACAATGTGATAAGTATTATAATAAAAGCCTTTGTATGTAAGGTAATGAAGCATATATAAGAAAACGTAACATGAATTTCAATGGAAAAATTATAGAAAAGTGTAGGAATCTAGGCCATAGAAACTATACAGTGTACTACTTAAGTTGATTCACCATGGTACCTATTGATTTTGTCCCTCTAATCTGTCTTATGGGGTTGAAGCCTCTTCCCCTTTCATACCTTTAGTAAATATAGCAACAAAAGGAAATGGTAGGTGAGGACTCTAGGAACTACATTTTTCTTACCCAGACATTGTTTCCTTCACAGGCATAAGCTGGAAGTCACACCAGTAGTAGCCTCTACTACCATGGTACCAAACATTATGGAGAAACCACTCATTCCAGACATATCCACCACCTCCAAAATACCCAACACTGAGGAGGCATCTCTCTTCAGAAAGCCATTAGTTTTAAAGGAGGAACCCACTATTGAGGATAAAACCCTTATCAATAAGTCATTATCTTTAAAGAAGTGCTCAAATCATGGGGAGTTGTCCCTATTGGAAAAGCCACAGCCCCTGCAGGAGGAGAGTGGCAGTGATGATGAGTTTGTTATAGAGCCAATGACTTTTAAGAAGACACATAAAACTGAGGAGGCAGCCATCACCAAGAAGACATTATCCTTAAAGAAGAAGATGTGTGCAAGTCAGGGGAAGCAGTCCTGCCAGGAAGAGTTGTTGGCTTTGCAGGATGTCAATACTGAAGAGGATTTCTTCTTTATGGAGTCAATGAGTTTTAAGAAGTCTAAAACTGAGGAGTCAATCCCAATCCATAAGCTATCATCTTTAAAGAAGAAATGTCCCATTTATGGGAAGATGTGCCACTTTAAGAAGCCACCAGTATTGCAGACAACCATCTCCGGAGCGATGTCCTCCATTAAGAAGCCATTGTCCTTTAAGAAGAATCCTACCACTGAGAAGGCCATCTGTATTCAAGAGAAGCGCACCACTGAGCATGAGATGTCCATCTTGAAGAAATCATTGACCTTGCAGAAGACCAACTTTAAAGAGAATTCCCTTGTTAAGGAGCCATTAGTCTTTAAGAAGAAGCCTAGCACTGAGGAGGCAATCATGATGCCATTAATATTAAAGGAGCAGCGCATGACTGAGGGGAAGAGGTCCTGCCTGAAGCCATTACTATTGCAGGCGATCACCTCTGGAGAGAAGTCGCTCATTACAAAGCCATTGTCCATTAAAGAAAAGCCATCTACTGAGAAGGAGTCCTTTTCCGAGGAACCATCTGCATTGCAAGAGAAGCACATCACTCAGGAGGAGGTTTCCATCTTAAAGGAGCCCTCATCCTTGCTAAAGTCTCTAACCGAAGAGTCACTTTTTGATGAGACTTTGGCTTTTACAAAGAAGTGTACCATTGAGGAGGCACCCTCTACCAAGAAGCCTTTAATTTTAAAGAGGAAGCACACCACTCAGGGGACAATGTCCCACTTGAAGAAACCACTAGTATTACAGACCACCTCTGGAGAGAAGTCACTTATTAAGGAGCCACTGTCCTTTAAAGAAGAAAAAGTGTCTTTGAAGAAAAAGTGTACCATACAAGCGATGATGTCCATCTGTCCAGAACTGTTGGACTTTCAGGATATGATTGGTGAAGATAAGAATTCTTTCTTTATGGAGCCAGTGTCATTTAGGAAGAACCCTACAGCTGAGGAGATAGTACTTACCAAGACATCATTGTCTGTACGGAAAAAGAAAATTACTCAGGGGAAGATGTCCCACTTAAAGAAGCCACTGGTCTTGCAGAAGATCATTTCCAAGGAGGAGTCACTCTATAAGAAGCTGTTGCCCTTTACAATGAAATCTACAACTGAAGAAAAGTTCCTCTTCCAGGAACCATCTGCATTGAAAGAGAAGCACACCACCTTGCAGGAAGTGTCCCTCTCAAAAGAGTCATTGGCCATCCAGGAGAAGACTACCACTGAGGAGGAATTCTCTCAGGAACTGTTTTCATTGCATGTTAAGCATACCAACAAAAGTGAGTCCCTCTTCCAGAAGGCTTTGGTCTTGCAAGAGAAGACTAATACCAAAGAGGATTCCTTGAAGAAGCTGTTGGCCTTGCAGGAGAAAAGTACCACGGAAGAAGAGTCCTTTATCAATAAGCTATTGGTTCTGAAGAAGGAGCTTTCTGCTGAGGCAGCCACAAACATAGAGATGCAATTATCTTTAAAGGAGCAGTCCACTGCTCAGGGAGAAGTGTTCCTCTTGAAGAAGCAGTTGGCTTTGAATGAGAACATCAGTGAAGAGGAGTTTCTTATTAAGCAGCCACTGGCCTTGGAGGGATATCCCAGCATTGAGGAGGGGGAAACCCTCTTCAAGAAGCTTTTGGCCATGCAAGAGGAGCCCAGCATTAAGAAGGAGGCTGTCCTCAAGGAGCCCACTGTTGACAAAGAAGCTCACTTTAAGGAAACTTTGACCTTGCAGGAGAAGCCCAGCATTGAGCAAGAGGCCCTCTTTAAGCAACACTTGGCTTTGTGGGAGAAGCCCAGCACTGAGAAGGAGACCATCTTCAAAGAGTCTTTGGACTTGCAGGAGAAGCCCAGCATTGAGAAGGAGACCCTCCTCAAAAAGCCATTAGCCTTGCAGATGTCTACCATCAATGAGGCATTCCTCTTAGAAGATATGATAACTCTGAATGAGAAACCCACCACTAGGAAGGAGTTGTCCTTCAGGGAGCCATTAGCCTTACTAGAGAGTCCCACCTACAAGGAAGACACCTTTCTCAAAACATTCTTGATTCCCCAAGTTGGAACCAGCCCAAATGTGTCTGGCACTGCCCCTGAATCCATAACAGGCAAGTCCAGCATTGCTACCGTGACCAGCATGGGCAAATCTGGTACCATCAACGAGGCATTCCTCTTCGAAGATATGATAACTCTGAATGAAAAACCCACCACTGGGAAGGAGTTGTCCTTCAAGGAGCCATTGGCCTTACAAAAGAGTCCCGCCTGCAAGGAAGACACCTTTCTGGAAACATTCTTGATCCCCCAAGTTGGAACCAGCCCATATGTGTCTAGCACCACCCCTGAATCCATAACAGGCAAGTCCAACATTGCTACCATGACCAGCGTGGGCAAGTCCAGTACCACCACCGAGTCCAGTGCATGTGAATTTGCTTCTGATAAACCTTTCTCACCACAGGCCAAGGGACCACCAAAGGAGGTATTCATCTCTCTTTCTTCTTAAATTAGATAAAGTGTTCTTTGATATCCTGGACGTGGCTGCTAGCAAAGTGTTTTTTTCTTGTTTTTTGTTTTTTGTGTTTTTTTTTGCCTTCCTAAGCAGTTGAGCCATATACAGTAAGTTATTGAGAGTATCCCTCTACCTAGTGAGAGGGTGATATTTCTTGGGTTTACTTCTGGTTTTATTTAATGATACGTGATGCAGAATCATCTCTTCTCACCGTTTATAGCCTGAGGTTACCCATGATATGGAATATATTTCCCAGGTTCTTTGGCATTTTTCTCTTAAATCAAGTTGGCCTTGTAGAATCTCTTGAATTCCTGATTGGCACAGTGATAGATCTAAGCAATCAGAAAGTATTTATTCCAGTAATACCACAAGGGTCTGGACTACTGTGCTGTATACTTGGGCTTTGCAGTAGTGGCCAGGTAATTTCATTCAGGAAATTGCCTTTCTTAGTAATTGTAATTTGCATCACAATGGGCTTTGGTTAAAAAAAATGGGCAAAGTTCATAGGAGCATCTCCCAAGAAAGGTGGTCTTTACATTGTAAATTTGAATAATGAAGGGATGATATTTAGCAAGCAGGAGGAGAAATGTCCTTTTTGTAGCAAAACAACCTGGGTAAAGGTATAGAAGGGAGGAAAAGACTACCAAAATGAATTGGGCCAGATCAAAGCATTGACATAATTAGGGACCTAAGAAGACAGGTAACACAGCTGAAATAATAAAATAAGAATGTCCATCTTGGAGAATCTTGAGCTTACCTATAAAAAGGGTCCCTTGTTCCGAGGGCAGCAAAGGTATATACAACAAAGACTAGGCATTTCTTGATCACTGGACCATATGAGGATTGCACGGCCAAGGAGTACTGTGTTGTGGCCCAACATATACAAGGCTTGAGGCACCTTAGCAGAAGAAGACAGTGGAGAGAAAGGACTAATCCTTGATATGTATGTGCTAAGTCTTCCTTGGAATAATTCTCCTCATAATATATCTTTTTGGTGATTTCTAAGCAGATAACCCCATGGGAAGATATTGACGAGGACAGCAGTAATCCAAGTTTCAACCCAATGTATGCCAAGGAAATCTTCAGTTACATGAAGGAGAGAGAGGTATGTAGGTTTCTTGGATTTGGGGGTGGGCAATGATTTCTAGTTTTCATTTCCTCATCATTCCATCCTTCAGTATGCAAGTTGAAAGGGTTGGTAATAATGATGATAAAAATAATAATAGCAACAACTAACAGTAGCTTTCTGTGAGTTGGATATTGTACTAACAGATTTGTAGATATTATCTTAATTCTCTCAGTGACTTCATGATGATAGGCATTATTATCTCCCTCTTACAGATAGAGGAAACTGCCCAGAGTCATGTAAGTGGTATATGGTAGAGCTGGGATATGAGCTAAAATCTGATTACCTTGAAGACCATAATCCTGTACATCTAATTGCTAAGAAGACAGTCTTAGACATAAAAATGGTCAAGTAGTCTCTGAGTGGCTGTTCTTAGAGATCTTTTTCCTTCCCTATGCATATTTCTGGCATTGTATGCAAAATCGTATTCTTTGTTTCATCTCTCCAAACTGGTGAAATTTTATTTCTCCTTTGAAATCTGCCAGTCTCCTTTACCACTAATATTCATCAATTCCAAAGTTTCTTCTATCTCTCTCAACAGAATAGATGGGACCAAGATTATCTACCAAGTAGAATTTTTAGCATGTCATGTATAAGAGGGTGGGTGGATGGAAACCCACCTACAGATCCACCTATCCTCTTTATAGAGAGAGTGTAATTGATTGACTCCAAAGCCCACACTTTTTCTGGCATACCTAAGTAAGGGACATCTTTGTTATAATAAAAGTGTGAGCCTTGGTTCAGCAGTATCAGTTTCACTTGAGATCTTGTTAGAAATGCAGATACCTAGCCCCATCCCAGACCTTCTAAATCAAAATCTGAAGTTTTACATGATCCCCAAGTAGTGCATATGTATGTTAAAGTTTGAGAAGTGCTGTTCTACATAGCATGGTGTTGTGCTTTAGATTGAATTGCAAAGAAGGGGCAGAACCTTTTTGGCATTTGTCTACAGCTATAGGTATGTTTCTGCCCTTATTCCCCCTGGATTCTTCAATATCCACTCTGACACTTGAATATCACATGTGTCTATTTCCCAAAGGATAACTGCAACTTGCCTGGAAAAGGATACTTTGATCTGCCCCTATCTAATACCAGTTGAAAATAAGGAGTTAGAACTATGAGGGAGAAGTTAATTGTTAAGTTACAATTTTGAACTACAAGAAGAGTTTATTTATTAACATTTCTTTCTCATCGATGCCAGGAACAGTTTATACTTACAGATTACATGAACAAGCAGATTGAAATCACCAGTGACATGAGGGCCATTCTTGTGGACTGGTTGGTGGAGGTGCAGGTAAGCCTGACAACTCCTGCTTTAAGGAGCTGCTGTTCTCTTTCTCATTCAGGGCTGCCAGGCCAGAAGCATGGTAAAAATGTACTGGGTCTATAGAGTTGAATAAGCCGTGGTTCCTGCCCTCAAGGAGCTCATGATTTAAGAGGCAAGATAAGATATGCCGACAAATTAGTATAATAGAAAGTGGAATATACTAAGTACTCTAAGAGTGTTTCAAATAAAATACTGTGAGAACTAATTGTAAGGTGAGACTTTCTAGAAAAGGCAGTGACGGTATGGTCGTTTTATCATTCTTAAAGTCTTGTAAAAGTATATCTAGTGATTTGGATTGGAGTCGATGACAAAGTCTTTCAAGCTTTGGGTGGAATGGATAATAGGAAGTACAGTGTGGCACAGGACATCGCAGGTAGCTGTTTGTCCAAGGTTAGGCATTGAGGGAATACTGCTATGAATACTTAGTTATTATTTTATACTAAGGAAGGAGAGCCCAGAGTAGTACATAGCATATAGTGGGGGTTCAGTATTTGTTGAATGAATGGAATTGAGAGAATTGCTATGTAGTTTGCAAGGAAACATACAGCATGGTCAGTCTATGCCCAGCAGTCTTAGTATGTAATTAGGAAGAAGACAATATAGTTTTATATCCTTTGTTAAGTATCAGAGGAGTGGTTCAGGCTCATTTTGGAGTGACAGACCAAGGAATTGTGGTGGACACAGTATATCTGAACATCAGAAAAGCATGAAAATGTCTCTCGTCTTATGAAAATGGTAGAGAACAGTAAATCAGATACGAGTAAAATTTGGGTAGATCTTAAATAAGTGAAATAGAACCCAAAGATTGCTTATCATTGCCAAGCTGGAAAGAAATTTCTAGTGACTGCCATTGGACTTTATTCTGTTTAACATTCTCATTAGTGATGTAAATGGGAACAGAGAAGATGTATTCATTATATTCCTGGATGGCATGAAACTAGGAGTAGGGATAGGAAATAAACGGCTTACAGAGAAAAAATATCTCTGCCAGCTGGAATGATGAACTAAATATTTTTTATTTAAAGTTTTGTTATTGCATAAAAATGTACATTATAGCAAAAAGAAATTATAATTACCTGTGATCCCACAACCCTAAACTGCTGTTCTCATTTGTTTGCATATATTATCTCCCCATCTTAAACAGTGGTTATCCATTAGAGGTGCACCTCAGAATCAGATGCCCAGGTCCTATCCCAGACTTATCCAATCAGAATTGTGGGGATGTGGCTCAGGCACACATATTTTTATAAAGCTCCGCAAGTTATGTTAATGTATACCCTTGAAAGAGAATCTCAGTTCTAGAAAATACCATATTGTTTTCATAACTGTAGTTATATGTAGTACTTTTATAACTCTTTGGGTTTTTTATTTTAAAATAACCAAATAACAAAAATGACTTTCTGGATATACAGTTCCATAAAATTTTAACATTTGTTTTGAAATAATGGATTCATAAGAAATTGAAAAAAAAGGACAAAGAGAGCTTGTATACCCTTCACCCTAGTTTATCCCGAAGATGACATCTGACGTAACTATAGTATAGTGTCATGGTCAGGAAATGGACTTTGTTATAATCCACAGACCTTGTTTAGATTTCAGCAATTTTACATGCACTCATTTGGGGGTGTGTATAGTCTATTTGATCACATGTGTAAATAAATATTTAGTTTATTTTCTTCACGTGTTAATTTTGTAATCACTACCATAGTTAAGGTACAGAACTGTTCCGTCGCCACAAGGATCCCTCATGCCACTTTTTGTTAGCCACAACTATCTCCCTTCCCTCTCCTTCCTGTCCCTGACAAATTATTTGTTTTCCATCTCTATAATTTTGTCATTTCATGAATGTTATATAAATGGAATCATACAGTGTATAGCCTTTTGAGCTTGATGTTTACTACTCACCATAATTCCCCTGAGATCCATCCAAGTTGTGTGTATGAATAGTTCATTCCTTTTTGTTGCTAAGTAGTATTCCATGGTACAGATGTACCATGGTAGTATGGTTTGGCTGTGTCCACACCCAAACCTTATCTTGAATTATAGTTCCCATAATCCCCATGTGTTGTGGGAGGGACCCAGTGGGAGGTAAGTGTATCATGGGGGCGGGTTTTTCCCTTGTTGTTCTTGTGATAGTGGATATGTCTCACGAGATCAGATGGTTTTATAAAAGGCAGTTCTCCAGCACACACTCTCTTGCCTGCCACCATGTAAGATGTGCCTTTGCTGCTCCATCACCTTTCGCCATGATTGTGAGGCCTCCACAGCCGTGTGGAGCTGTGAGTCCATTAAACCTCTTTTTCTTTATAAATTACCCAGTCTCAGGTATTTCTTCATAGAAGTATGAAAATGGACTAATACACATGGTATGTTTAACCATTCACCTACTGAAGGACTTTTGGGTTGTTACTAGTTTTTGACTATTAAGGATAAAATTACTACGAATATTTGAATACAGGTTTTTTGTGACTGTAGTTTTTATTTCTCTGGGATTAATACTGAAGAGTGTGACAGTTCTATTAATTTTTAGCATATGTATAGATTTGCGTAACCACCACTAGGATTAGGAAATAGAACAGTTTGATCATGCCATAAAAACTTCCTTATGTTATCTGTTTAGAGTCACACCCACCTCCCACCCCTAACTTCTGGAAACCACTGATCTATTCTCTATCTTTGCCTTTTCAAGAATATTGTATAAATGATTTGCATTATATGTAACCTTATGAGACTGGCTTCTTTCATTCAGTATGATGCCTTTAAGATTTATTCAAGTTGTTGCAGATATCATTAATTCATTCTTTTTATTGCTGAGTGGTATTCTGTGGTTCAGATATATCACAGTTTATCCATTCTCCTGTGGAAGTGTATTTAGTTTGTTTCCAGATTTTGATGACTGTGAAAAGAACTGTACATTAATGTACAGGTTTTTATGTGAAGATATGTTTTAATTTCTAATGTCAGCACACAGGAGTGGGATTGTTGGGATGTACGATAAGTGTATGTTTAACTTAATTAGAAATTGCCACAGAGTGGCTGTACATCTTGTATTCTCACCTCCAGTGCATGAGAGTTCTGGTTACTCTGCATTCTTGTCAGCACTTAGTTTTGCTAGTACTTTATTTTACCCATCTAATAGGTATATAGAGGAATCTCCTCATAGTTTTAATTTTTATTTCTTTAAGTTCTAATAATGTTGACAACCATACTTATCATGCATATATCCTCTTTGATGAAATGTCTGTTCAAGTCTTTTCCCAGTTATAAATAGGTTAGTTCATTTTCTTAGTGTCAAGTTATGAGAGTTCTTTACATATTCTGGATACAAATCCTTTGTTGGATATGTGATTTATAAGTATATTCTCTCAGTCTGTAGTTTTTCTTTCTCTTACCAGTGTCTTTCCCAGAGCAAAATTTTTTAATTTTGATAAAGTCCAGTTTATCAATGCTTTCTTTATGGATTGTACTTGCTTCTAAGAACTCTTTGCCTAAACCTAGGTCAGGAATATTCTCTCTGTCTCTCTCGTGTGTGTGTGTGTGTGTGTGTGTGTATTTAAATTTATTTGTTTGTTTATTTATTTATTTATTTATTTTTGAGACAGAGTTTTGCTTTTGTTGCCCAGGCTGGAGTGCAATGGCATGGTCTCAGCTTACTGCAACCTCTGCCTCCTGGGTTCAAGCGATTCTCCTGCGTTAGCCTTCCAAGTAACTGGGATTACAGGTGCCTGCCACCATGCCCAGCTAATTTTTTAATTTTTAGTAGAGATGAAGTTTCACCATGTTGGCCAGGCTGGTCTCAAACTCCTGACCTCAGGTGATCCGCCTGCCTCGGTCTCCCAAAGTGCCAGGATTATAGGCATGAGCTACTGTGCCCGACTTCTTTCCTATATTTTATCTAAAAGGTTTATAGTTTTACATGTTACATTAAATCTGTAGTCCATTTTTAGTTAATTTTTGTATAAGGTGTGAGATTTAGGTCAAGGTTCTTTTTTTGCATATGAATGTCTAATTGTTCTAACACCATGTGTTAGAATTAAAAACTATACTTTCTTCATGGAATTGTTTTTGCACCTTGCTAAAAACAGTTTTATTCTGTTTCCTTTATCTCTGTATCTCTTCCTTCACCAATATCACACTGTCTTTATTTCTGTAGTTTTATAGTTAGTCTTAAAACTGGATATTGTGATATTTTCAACTCTTTTTTTTTTTAAAAAACTGGCTGGGAATGGTGGCTCATGCCTGTAATCTCAACACTTTGGGAGGCTGAGGCAGGTGGATCATGAGGTCTAGAGTTTGAGACCAGACTGACCAACGTGGTGAAACCCCCATCTCTACTAAAAATACAAAAATTAGCCAGGTGTGGTGGCACGCACGTGTAATCCCAGCTACTCAGGAGGCTGAGGCAGAAGAATCGCTTGAACCCGGGAGGCGGAGATTACAGTAAGCCAAGATCACACCACCACTGCACTCCAGCCTGGGCAATAGAGCGAGACTCCATCTCAAAACAACAACACCACCACAAAACAAAAAAACACCTATTTTAGCTATTCTAGTTCCTTTGCCTTTCTACATAAATTTTAGAATCAGTTTATATCTTAAAAATATTTCTAGGAGTTTGATTGGAATTGAGATATATTTTGTGCAGAAAAGAGTTAAAATAATAGGCCTGATACTGCTGTCCCTAGAAAGGTCTATTTTCAAGGTTGGCCCTTGGCTGGTAATCTGGAAACTTGGCCGGTAAGCAGTCCGTACACTAATGTAAAATTTCCCCGAATGATAATTGTGGCTTACTGTGCTTAAACTCTTTATGCAAACATTGTGGTTTAGGCTGAACACCTGCTTTCCTTTTGGGAGTCTGGAACTTCAGAACATGCTAGGCACAGAGTGTTTACTTGACCAGTTCCCAGTAAAATTTTGGGCACTGAGTGATAGTAAGCTTCCTGGTAGACAACACTTTCCACGTATTG